GGCGCTTTAAATAAGACTTAAAGGCCACTTAAGGGCCACGTTGTTTAGAGAACTCTTATCCATGCTAAGTCATCAGCGATTGCCTATATCACAAGTGGAAAGAGCTGGCGAAGAGCTTCGAGCACTGTGCGCGTCATTTGCAAATGACCGCCTCTGGCACCCGTAGCGCACGCGTCAGGCAATTTCGTGCCAAGCAGATGTGATATTCGTGTTCAGCGCGTCAAATACCCCTTTCAACAACATTTGGTCCAAATCTAAAATTTGACTCAATGTGGGCAGTCATCTATCCATCAACCCATTGTCAGAGCCTGATCATGGGATGGAATTAAACTTTCAATCATTGTTGTGAAAGAGATATACGTGTTGCTCTTACTTGCTTGCGCCATCCGAAGATTTATATAGCATTTTTTTTCAAGTACACGCTCGCTGCCGTTTATGGTAGGACAGCACGAGGGTAGTGGCTAGGGCTAGGGATAACACCAACGACTGATTGTAGACCGAGTTTCGAAATTGGGTCCAAATGTCAGCTTTCTAGAATTAAGCCTTCAAAGATAGTTTGGTCCGTTGAGCAAGCATCTCCCATCATCGGATATACGTCACCTTCCGTGGCGTAGAAACACCCCGACAGTGGTCGAAACATTACGAAAAAGTGGATGATGCTTGAAGCAAACCCCTCTAAACATGCGATAGCTTTGGACGCAGTGAAAATTTCAACACTGAATAATTTTTATATTTAAATTAGACCTAATTACAAAAGCAAAAACTTCCCAGCAAGATCCCATCCATGGTCTCACCACTGAAGCCGCCAACACTACCACTCGGCCAAGCCGCCGCTGGAAACTGCTCTGCCGGAGTCTCTTAGTGGGCTTTCATTCGAAACAACCTCCGTAACACTTTTCAGAGAATCGTTTCGCAAATTTGGAGAGTGGATTCGAGATCAGCGTCCGAAAACACATCTCTGAGTATAGGTTTCATTACGGATGGCCACTTCGACTTGGTATCCTTCCCTTGTTAGAGAAAAGTGAGGTTTCGCTCAATTATCCTTATGTGAATGGTAGAGATCAAAGGAAATGTTTAGAACCGCTTTCAGGCTGCTGAGGATTTAGAAAGGAACTATACGGAAGATTACAGCAGAAGAACCGGCGTTGGCGCAATTAACATCGATGTATTACAAACATTCAGGCGTTTGGAGGCTACAGAGCCATCACTCGGCAACGTGGCAGTGGGCTAGAATAATTTATGCGTAGTATCCCACAGTATTTATGAGTTGTCCGCTGGAGGTGACGCTAAGCCATGAGAAATAATGGGTCGCGGAGAGCTTTCTCAAAGCACAATAGCATTTTTAGACGTTTTTAAACACTTAGTTCAAGCTGTTTCTGGATTTTCTCCCGAATAGTTTCAAAATCTCCCATGAGTTTTTTTAAAGAGCGGAATGCTCCACGTACGGTCCTCCAATCAGATTTTCCGATTATAGCGTTTCGTGCACAGCAAAATCAACGTCTCCCGCGAGACCTCTAAGCCGTCATCCTGTGCGATTCGGCTGAAGACATCGGCCACGAGAGGTCGCTCGTATACAATGGCCGTGGTAGACTAGAGCATGACCCTCAAGTGGCGGTTTGAAGACGGCTCGAAAGCTTCGCAGACTTTGATATCACTCCGACACAACGCTCGACCACTGTCCATACTGAATGTCCGCGCTGTAATCGAGAATGAATCGAGGAATCGTCACATTATCTGGCAGAGTGTCGCGAGTCCTTCAGGGTTTCAGATAAAACAAGTTCCGAATGTTTAGTCAACTTACCGCTCGATGTTGTTTACCAGTGACCGTAAACCCCACAACCTGGGCATCTACCCATTTTACCTTGTCGCACAACCACGACGATAGTTAGATGCATGTTGGCACTGGCGGAGGAGGACAATTGGGTCTGCTTTGTGAGAACCAGGCTCTATTCTGTTTACGTATGAGGATAATGGGAAATTTGTGCATGCACCTTCTCCATTTGGGTGGAAGTCTGTGACGACGATTAGACATTGGTGCGTCGTTCTTGCCTGCAGGATCCGAGCTTGACAAGCGGTCCACAAGGTAGCTGCTAGGATGGACTGGTAAACCTTCACGGAGAATAGTGACAACTGAAATATTGCTTGATGTTGTTGTTCTGCCGCACAGGTTGTTACGATGGAACTCCTTTATTCGGTCGACGTTTCGAACAATTCGTCGTCTTCAGGACCTGAAGTCGGTTCGAAAGTTCTTAGCTGGTAACCTACCCGGCTCATACCCCACGATACTTCTCAAGAGCTACAAATAGAGGAGAATGCCAAACAAGGAAACCAACCTCTGTAGTTCCACCAGCGCCACGTGTCCCCGTTTCTTAAACAGATGCGGAAAAATGAGACACACATGACACAAATGACAGTGAAGCGTCATACGTGCATATGTGAATATCTCACAATCCACATAAAGGAATGAAAGGCAGGAATTCATTTGTAATGGCAATGCATTCATTTCGGTTGTTAGCTTTGGATTTCGCACGCGGATATAGAACGCTTCTAACATTCTTTCTAGCACCGATGTCATCCTCGCGGGCTAGGATTTTGCATTCAATATCAAAATCATTGCCCTGATGTTTCTTCTAACCGGTGCTTGCCAAGTGGAGTAAGCAGGTTTCCGCGCCTTTTTCCTGCCAGATGTTCTTTAACGCGTATCGCCTAACATTCTGCCCGTCTCTCCAATATAAACTTCGTTACAGGTTGAAGCATTGGAGTTGGTATACTGTCCCTCGTTGTGCACAATCTCCATGCCTTCCATTCAGGCTATACGACCGAACATGCACTGCCGAGAGTTGCGTGATTTGCCCATATTTGTCCAAATTTTCTCGACAAAAATTTTCGTAATTTCTACGGATATGGCAGCAGGGTTTTTACCTTCGACACTAATGGTGTGGAACGATGCGCTAGCCCTAGTCAAGAACATAAGAAGTGTGACTGAACAAAAAACTCACCTTGGAAAGCCGCTAGAAAGGGAGCTGAACGGCTGGGCGTGGTTGGAATCGGCCGAGGGACTGCACAACCACGCCCACTTCGAAGCTGTTCAGCTCCCTTTCTAGCGGCTTTCCAAGGTGAGTTTTTTGTTCAGTCACACTTCTTATGTTCTTGACTAGGGCTAGCGCATCGTTCCACACCATTAGTGTCGAAGGTAAAAACCTGCTGGGACTGTTGCTTCAAGTAATCGTGATAGAAAAATGCTATCTCATACGGCATGTGCCACTACCTTGGGAGTGCACAGATTTTTCACAGTGATGTGTTAATGCACAATAGCTCAGGAATTATGGCTCGGCTTTGAGCACGCACAATCTAGAAAAAAATTTCGATGCTGCATCCAAAAACGGATGTGTGACTGCTGCGCCACTCACATGTGGAACACAAACGCTGTCATTCGTCTCCGTTTTCGTTTCATTATTATCACTGCTGTTTGACTAATATCCCGTGCAATTTGATGAGGCAAACATTCTTCTTCCTACTTCGAGAAGTAACCCAACTCTAAGGACTTTCGCTACAATCGAAAGGATGAGCTATGAAGCAAAAGCATTCGAGAGTTCATTGTTTGAACCGCAGTCATTTTGCTGCAAGCACATGTCAGTTATTACACTAGGCCAATAGGAGAGGAACCTATTATCACAACGAAGTTTTGTGCAACGAACCTACACGAAAGTCTACGCAGACATTCGGCGACACCCAAAGTGGAAACTTCATACTCGGAAATACCAGACGGATCTGCTGAAGAAAAACTTGCTCAACTTCATCGCTGCATTCGTCCTAAACATTTATTCAATATTAGCCACAAATTTTGCTCTCCGTGTCATTGTACAAAAAACAAACAGTCCACTTTGGAATGGGAAATTGGCGCCCCTTTGACTTTCTCTCGCAGGATAAGTGGCACTTCCCCCCCCCCCCCCCATCTGAACCCTCTATCACCCTACAACAAAGCCGGTGACATGTCCACGTGCACGAGGACTTGCGATTCACCGTCCTTTTTCCGCCGGTTATTTACTTGACCTCTTCGTAACTATCGAACTCAATGAGATCTTCTGGGTATCATCATCATCTTATATCGAGGTCTTCAGGATGATGACTGATGAAACATCCTATCTCTGCGAGCCTGTCCTTCTGACTGTCATAAATCATTTGCAGCCCAGCACTACAAGGAGGACGTTCATCAAGACGCAACCAATATAAGGTGCCCCTCCACTATAACTATTCATCACAGTACTCTGGGTGTGCTACACCAAAACGACCGCGCTGGTACAGGAAGGGTCAATCTAGTGATTAATCAGAAGCTGTAGGTGAATGTAGGACAGAGGATTGGACAGCGCACAAAGAACGCCAAACACTTGCGACAGGATGTTTCCAATTATTGCTCACATGCATTCAACTTATGCGGAGTTACAATAATGGAGTTCCGATAAATAAGTGGATATGGGTCTACGAAAAGGCAAATTTTACGTACTCTCGCCACTAGTGGGTCCAAAATTATTTTGAACGTGGTTGTTTCAGTGAAAACATATGTCTTGCCACGCGACTAGGTTCGTACACTTCTACTACTCTTTTTCATCATCGTGTTCACGTAATGGAAAAAATGAGGAATGAACTGAATGGATATTTTCGAAAACCTCTAGCAAACCAAAGTATATTCGGCCAATCTGTGAGCTACGTAGTTTTTCATTATGTTGATGTATGGATCATAGGCCATATTTCATAGAAAGGGCGGAAGTGGTGTAGTGGCAAGTGGCACGCTCACCACGCGAGCGGTCCGGGGATCAAATCCTGGGTCGTGAGTCGCCCGGGCCAACCAAGCCTTCCATCCCTCCGGGGTCGGTTAATTGGTACCAGACTTGTCTGGGAGGATAAAAACACTGACTTGTACATCGGCTGGCCCCCGCAAGTCAATTGTGTAGGCCATCCAAAAGGGGAACCGATCAACGGCAAATGTTTACTCTTTGCTTTACGGGCCAATAGAATGATCACAAAAACTTGTGAAGAACTCTGGCATTTGCAAAGAAAAAACAAATGTAATGGGTGTGACATAAATAGTTGCCGCGCTGTCGTCAAGGTGTTGAACTAAGCTTGTGCTGCATCAAGCAACGTGATCACCCTAAAACTAAGGCGGGAAAATCTAGTGAAAATGCAAATTTGTACAGTTTCAAGAGCCGCGAATAGATGTTTACAAATGTGGAACAAACACAAAATACTCATGAAGAATTTGCGTAGGCCCAAAAAATTAATGAAATAAGTGCGGTACACATATTTCCTCGATGTCCCACATGAGCTGCAAAGGTCGGCATGCATAACCGGCGCGCTGTTGTCAAGGTGTTCAATAGGAAGCACACTACTGAGGCAAAATGTTCAATGGAGTCAGACGAGCATATAATGGAACAAAGATCAAAATTTTTAGATTGCGTTACGCGAAATGAGAATGAAGCTATCCATTAATTCCTCTCTTTTCTAGGTACTGTCCGTGCAATGTGCACCCGCCAAATCCTTCCATTGAAGGCGAGTCGACGAGCTTTGGGCAGAACATCTTCATGATGATCTGGGATGAAGCCTTTAACACAAATGCAGCGTGCATCACCGGGCATGCACGTCGAGACTCCCACATCTGCCATTTTGTGCATCGCCGGGTATGCGAATTGGTTTCAAGCTCTCCTTCATACATTTTTTCCTTACTTCTATGCCTATACAGTTTCCATTAGTTCCCTGAGTCTACTAAACACAACTGTTCTCCATCTTCGAATTCAAGAATTCGGAGCTTTAAAGATGTACACCAACTGCCCTCATTTCAACCCTCGAAAAGCATTTAAAGCAACAGTCCCAGCAGGGTGGGCGTGGTTGGAAACGGCTGCAATCCCCTTCGGCCGATTCTCCACTTCGGAGCTGTTCAGCCCCTAGTCAAGAACGTAGGAAGTGTGACTGAACAAAAACTCACCTTGGAAAGCCGCTAGGGAGGGAGCTGAAGTGGGCGTGGTCGGAATCGGCCGAGGGGATTGCAGTCGTTTCCGACCACGCCCACCCTGCTGGGACTGTTGCTTCAACAGGTAAGTGGCTGTCAACCGTTGCATATACTTTGCGACAATAAGGCAAGCAAGATATAGCACGAAGCGGACAAAAACGAAAAACAAAGCGAAAAAAGGATGGGGCAGAAGAAACGTTGCCAGCGCTATGGTGCGTCCCATAATTATAATTCCACCTGAATAATTTCCTGAAATCTTACAGATTTAGACGTTTTCGAAAAAGTCACCAATGTAATAATGTTGCAAATATGAACGCGAAATTGCCCATGAACATCAACTCTCAACTTATATCGCAGTAATTTTTTTTAGTAATTTTTGTGTAAAAGGCCATTCGGCAGATGTCACAAAATTGTAATTTTACCTCATGTTTTTTTATTAATTTTCACTATAAGAAGTATAAATGTTATCACAATAAAAAAACATCGTGACACAGATGTGAAAATTTGTAGAAAAACATGAGATAAAATTATAATTTTGGGACGAGTGGATTTTTTAGAAAATTATCAGAAAAAATCACTGCGATTAAGTGAGAGTTGATGTTAAGCGATTTCGCTTTTACATTTATAGCATTGCTAATTGGACAATTTGCGAAGGCAATTGTTTGAATTTGAGAATCCCAGTGGATTATAATTTATGGCGACGCATTTGTAGCTTGAGTTGTGTTGTTATCCTGTTTGTCTTACTCCACCCTTCCTTTTATGGTCAACCCTAGCCTTTCTCCACTGTAGCCTCATTTGATCGAAGCTAGAGTAGGCGCGAGAAGTCGCCCACAGATCCCTCTTCTCGCCAGGGTCAACCGTCCGTTCGCAGTATTCGGACAAATGGGGCGTGTTTGGAATTTTGGGAAAGGAGGATCGCACTTTAGGCAGAGGAAGGCTTAAACTGCTTTTGGTGACAAGTGTGACGGGTCGTAAAAGAGAATTTGAATGGTGTGAGGGGGCGCCTTCATTGCACCAATTGATCCCCCCAGCCCCTCGGTTGACTACTGTTTCACGAGAAAAAAACGGCGCGGTCAAAGTCTCTGTTCTGAGGCTGGATGGTGGATCGGGGGCGTGCGGTGCATTCGAAACCCCCTAAGGGGTCGCAAAATTTTTGGAAAAGTGCGAACACGACGTTAACCCTGCTCCGAGACCTTACCGCGCGGTAGGCTTAATGACAGACAGCTTTTCTTTTAAAAGATGCAGCGGTGGATAAAAAAAGCACAACGCCTAGAGTCCGCTGAGCTGGATCGTTGTTTTCCCCGTTAATTCCTTGTGCAAGACATATCAGTGCTAACAGACGAGTGAATCTGATGTGCCTGTCCGCCGAAACCTCTAAAGTCCGATAGTGATGGATCAACAGCAGGGGTAGCCACTCAGTGAACAGGCGAAGGGACGAAGACGCCTGGAGAGATGGGTAAAACCTTGCTGCGTCATTGCGGGCGCCTTCTTCGCCGCGACTGCGCCATGCGCCATTGTGTCGTACCCTCAATGCCTGGTCTCTATTTATAGCAGACGCATTCTCCCCCCCCCCTCTTCAACATCCAATGTAGCTGCCTTTAACTGAGGCGCCATCAATGTATCCAATACAACCACCCTTCCTCTCCATCATTTTAATAGTTTTGCACGCAATTTAATGCTCACAATTCGTTGGTCACCCTCGCGAACTATGAAAAAGTTCCTTCAATTGATATGCACTACCATGCCATCCTTAGTACTATCATTGTAATGACATTCAGTAGCTGCTTCGACCTTCGACTAGGTAAGGGTTGAATATAGGGGAGACTTCACACTATTCCCTCGTAGAAAGTCCCACCGGAAAAGTTTGAGGTGCTAACAAGTACAGCGGTAGTCGCCGCCGTGGCGGCATCATTGTTCGATCCTGCGTGCAGAACGAGGAATCCGTGAGATGCGGTAGTGTAGGCAATTCAGAGGGATGGATAATGGAGCGAGTCACTTGACATGCGTGAAAAGCTGAAATGTGTGGGTTTACACCACCTCGCTGAAAGTACGCACATATGCATCGCGCCACGGCGGGAGCACTCGACTTGCGCGGCGAGAAGGTAGAGACGCAGACGGGTTGACGGACGAATTCCAGCGCGTGTGATGAGGACGCGCTGTAGAACAATTTATTTAACGTGACGCTTAATCGCTACAGCACGCGCTGCGACTCGTCCGCCGTCTGCGCCTCTGCCTTCTTGTCGCGCGAAGGGCATCCTGTAAGGTACCCCGTGGCGGCGACAGCCCCTTCACCTAGGTTAGCGCAAAATTTGACTCTTTAGTGTTGACGAAGGTGATCATGAGAGAGTAGAATTAGTCGTGAGACAACTGTAGCCCGTCGCGTAGCGAGAAGGTAGAATGGTGGTTGGGGTTTTACGCGACACTGCAGGTGGTGATTACCCGACGTCCTCCTCGCCGCCAATTTATATGGTTTAGAATAACTGCAGATTGCCACTCACAAGTATTTCGTAGTCGTGTTGAGACAATGGGGCTATATCGAGAGATGTGCAAACTGTTGGATTGACTTGCTCCAGAATAACCTCAAAATTCGTTTTATTGGATCTATCATGTCTGAAAAAACGGTTACCTCACCTCAACATTGGTATCGAACTTCGCCATCGCAGCAAGCCTTCTATTCACGAATACATGTGTGAAAGGGAGGCTTCCGAAAACTTGCACATATAAATAGCATTGTGGTTTCCACGCCAACATCGAATTCGGAAACTATCAGCGAAGTATTCGAAAAGTGCTAAATTTAGCTTATCTTTGTAGAAAATGATGGGTTAGAACTTAGCGCAGACCTTTTGACTTGACGTCCCTTCATATGACGATGTGTTCCTAACATATGCGAAACAATTTTGCCAATCATGAAACTGTATGAACGACGGATAATTCGCAGTAACCATAATAATTATCTGCAATACAATTGTAAATTACAAAACTCCATATCAGTACAAAGAAACAAAGAACGTTGATGCAACAGCGCCCACAAATAAATCGATAGCCCTGCGCTGATAAGGAAGGTCACACCAGCAACCTGTACTCAAGTTGGCTCAGCGATCAGCTGTTTTCCAGTGATTTTTTGATAGTATTTCCAGCCATACAACACTACACGGAACCAAGCCTACTTATTTAGAATCTTATGAAAAATTTTAATTTTGAGCGAAGGTGCTTATTCATCACCGTGCTGTGGCCTTTTGTCTTCTAATCAACATGAAATTACTAGCCTGCACACAACTTGGGACTAGTTTTGAAATATGTGTGTGACCTCCGTCAATTTCCTCCTCCTGTCTGCTAAGAGCTGAAGCCGTTTGGAAACCCGGTTGTCTAATCATATTTCTCGGAAACTCGACCGGAGGCCGTCGCGCGACAACAAGGTAGAGACGCAGACAGGTCAGCGGACGAGTTGCAGCGCGTTGTGCATTATGGGGCGTGCTATAGTAAATTAGCTTCGGCTGATTCGCTACAAGTACGCCCTGCGGCACCGTCGCTGACCGGTCTGCTCTCTGCCTTCTCAACAGCGACGCGGCTTCCTGCCGGGTACACATAAAATATGGATCTTAGCGAACAACCGGGGATGCGACATTGATGCGCAACGGTTTTGCGTAGTTTCTGATGTTTATGGAAAAATATGATAAGGTTATTCGGAAACCATGGACCATGAGAGAGAGCATTAATGCAACATGTGATTTTCTTGGCATGGAAAAGTTTTCAGTGCCATGCAAGTTGAGGTGCAAACGTCGGTTAGTCTACTGTCTCAGCGAAGTTGTAGTGGTACCTGGCTTATGAAATTCTGGTTGAGCACATACGTTATCACCACACAGATGCCGAATCGTTGAGCCGCAGAAGAAACTTCACTCCGAATGCGCAAAATGGAGAGGTGAATGGATACTAATACGCTCTTCACTGCATTGGGAGAGATTCCTTCCTGAAATGTATCCTGAAATCTGGGCGTGCTCAGATGGATCAGACTAGGCGCTTCTGCAATAGTGACATCACTGCCGCGATTGCACGATCGCGAGGCGTGTCGTAAGGTTGGTGTCAGAGTCCGCGATCCGTCGCGCGATTCGCGATTTCGCAAAATCGCAAGTGCCCATTTGAACATTTGAAACACTGAATATGAAACAAGTAGAATCATGAACGTCATTCAACCATCACCATCAAGCAGAAATGGCGGCGGGATTGGAGAGCACCTCGCAGTATTGATCGGGCACTTGTGATTTCTGTGATCCGTCGCGCGACGGATCGCGGACTTTGACACCTAGCCTTGCTGACCCAACGCTTTACATTGGGCACCCCACTCACCGTTGTGGCATCGCGCTAGAATCGCGGCGATTGCACAGTCGCCGAGTCTGACATCCACCTCAAGCAAGCAACTGTCAACATGTTCAAAGGTTCGTTCCCTCTGGTTCTTTCCCTGTTGTCATTTATTTCCATTCTCTTTCCCCTTTCTCTTTCTGCGCTCACCGACTGACACAAAAAAGGGTACTGGAACCATGTTCCTCAAGGAAATAGATATGTTG